CTATATGACGAATATGATTTATAGTAGGATTTGAAATAAACTTGTCTTTATTTATACAAATTCGAAGAGATGATGTGCAATTTACTGCCTTTGATGAAATTAATAGTTTTCTGGAAATTGTTGTTTAATAAGGTTTACCATTAACGGAATAAACATGCCGAAAATCAGACGGACAGTTATGAGCACGAAGAAGTTTTAATTACTTGTATATATTTGATATGCATCTATTTGTAAATGAATGATATGATTTCAAGAATGACAGGATAAGTGCTATTTCTTTTGATGTAAAATTACGATAAGTACAGTTATTATAAATTGTTAAATAAACCATCAACGTTATTATTATCGTCAGGGTCATTGTGAATGTGTGAGTAGGATGCCCGACGCCCACATCCACCCTTTTTATTTATCACATGAATTTTCATTGAACTATTTCTAAGTATTATTTTCACGTCTATCATACTATGCCTCAATCTACTGTTGACAAATCGTATATAGTCAGTAATAATGTTCGTACTATGTCTCCTGTTACTCTTCCGACCATTGTCGTCAGCATAACTTTGGTTTGTGATCGTTTTTCAATTTCATCTTTGCCAACAACCGTGAATTACTTCTCTTTTCCAGACAGTTGATACTGAGGTTTTTGATTTTTACTAACGACTTACTAACCATACAATTTGGAAGAAACTACTTTATATTCCTAATCGTCTTCAAGCAGTCATCGATTACATAACGAATACTCCAATCTCCAACTGTTCATTCGCTTATAGCTTGGTATCGTTATACCTATTCGCATACATCATTCTTCTTCTTCTTGGTTTTCCCTTTTATTTTTGTTTTATTCGATCACCAGCAATATCATTCGTTCATCTCGAACTACCTCCTATTTCTTAATTTTCTTTTTCTGACTTACATCTCATTTCTAGTACATGTCTTCTTTGTTTTGTTGCAGTGTTTGCTATCTAACAGTATTGCTGCTGCTCTGTCTTTTTTCATATCTTCATCATTTTTTCTCTTCTCACCGGTAATTACATCTAGCTTTATCCTTCATTTGTCATCACTCTTTTTTCTTCTTGCAGACTACTATTTCAATAAACAATTATCATGTATCACATTTTCTCATGTTTGTATTCTGTGTATCATAATTCATATTATCCTACCCTCTTATCTCTCTCTAATTTTTCGTACTGTAAAAGATATGAGAGGCAAGGATTGATTGAATAGAGGAATAGTTGTGCAGGCTTCGATTACGAAGTTGTTACAGTTATGAAACTGGTTAATAGAAAATTTCAAACTATATGGACAGCCGATTTTTATGATAAACAATCAGCAGAGGTCTCAAAAATATTTGTAAACATTTATTAAACATTTATAGATCCGATCGGAGCCACTATCAATTAGTATAAAGCTATTCAAAATTGTTATGAAACCGTAAGAGAACAAGTCTTTATTTTTATAGATTGATCAAGTTTACAAATGTTATTTCGACATAAATAACCTATATGATTTAATTTGAACGATTGATGATCAACTTAAACAAGATAGACGAAATTTAAACATTTCATTTGTTATAGAAATTATAATATTAATTTTCTGGGCATTAGTCATCGGATATTTGCTTCGCAAACGGTTCAAAAAACAAAACTATCAATTCAGTAAAAATTTATTCTCTATTGAAAAATATATCAAATGGCTTTAATAGGATTCAAATCAATTTTAATATACACAATGAAATGTTTTCTGTTTTTATTCGGATAATAAATCATTCTTAATTATACTTTACTGTTAATCGCTTCTTTCGATATCTTAATCTTCGTATTAGCACATCATTTTGATTCATAATTTAAGTGTTGCGCAAAGTTCTACTTAACGCACGAAACAATACTTTACTCACACAAATCTATAGAGAATAATTTTTACAAATGTAATTTGTGAGTTAATATAGCTATGTTGAAGTTGCAAACAATCTAAATATCTCTCATATATGCTTTAAAAAAATAAAAACAAATTCATGAATAACAATAATTAACAGAACCGCAGATTTAGTAAAAGACTTAACCTACTGTGAGCATTTATACAACTATTTATTAATCATGGATGCGATTAATAACATTTCTTGGCATTTCTTGCGAAAAAATGATTCATGTATACATCCGTTTCAGCAGTAATTTAACATGTATAACGCTATGAAAAACTGACTGATAGGTGAAAACGAAAAAAAATGTTCGCCAAAGTATTTTCTGCCGTTCATCACCATTTTCGTTCATAGTAGGCGACAGTGGCCGTTTAAACAGCGTATCTCGAACTTGTTGGAAGATAAAAAGCCAAATCACACTGATTAGCAAACACTTCAGCTAAGTCATCACAAAGTTTGCAATTCGGCATATCAAACGCTATTGGATTATAGTTGCTATAAACAATAACCCTCTGGCCTACAATAGTAATACCACAACCAGTATAAAGGGAGTGCAAACCAATAATAGGACACCATTCAATGATTTTCGTAAACTTGTACGCCTCCATAACTTTTTCCAGAGGTATCTTGCACACCTTCCACTTGCGCTGCTTCCAAAAACCAAATAATTTCGACACTGTATTCGAATCTATATCAGACAACGAAAATGCAGAAATCAAAATGTTTTCCACTGCTGCGTATGAAGCGTAATCAGCGATACACAATAATCCGTTAATAACGTTACTTGTTGCTGCTTTTCCACCGATCTGGCCGAGAACTTCACACGCCATATTTCTGGCATTAGCATCCTTCAACGCATCCGCCAACAAGGCAATCGTGTCCTTCGTTGGTTCGTTTTCAATGACGCGACAGAGGGCCCCATATGCCATCTTTCTAACCACACTATTCACATCTCCCAGTGTGTTCACCAACGCTACAATCACGTCATTTGTTGCTGCTTTAACACCCATCTTACCGAGAGCTAGACATGCATTTTCTCTAACATAAGCATGCGCATCGCTTAACGCAGTAGTCAGCGCTGTAATCACGTCATTTGTTGTTGCTTTTTCAATTATCAGACCGAGACCTTCACATCTCTTACTTGTGACAATATTATCAGTATCCACTAGTGAGGTCATCAGCGGTGTGATTACGCCGTTTGTTGCTGCTTTTCCACACATCCGACAGAGACCTTTACATGCCTTACTTCTGCGAACATTAGGGATACCCCCCAGTGCGGTCAGCAGCGGTGTGAATACGTCGTTTGTTGCTGCTTCTTCAACTATGTGACGGAGAGCTTCACGTGCCTTAAACTTGACAGTATCATCCGCATCCTCTAGTGCGGTTGCTAGCAACTGTATCAACTCCGGTTGTGGATTGAAAAGTGATATTGTAGTTGTGAATGCGATGACATTCCTCCGTGTGGTTTCGTTGTTGGTTTTCAAAAGCTTAGCGAATATTTCGGCTACTTCAGGTTTGTTCACCAGCGAAGAACTTCTTCGTAAGGTCTCGCTTAACGTTTTGCGTATGGCTTCGTAGTCTGATTGCACGGCATACTCTGCACACTTCATTATATAGCTCATAATTTCATTATAATGTTGGAAGTTATTGTTATGATGTGCCTCTTCTAAGCAAGAAATGACAATTTCCATGTGTCGTATGCCAACCTTGTCTAATGGCTCTCTTGAAAGCGTGTCCCAGAATATGTTGTTACATTTAGTGTTATAGCTGTTTGCGATAATACCCGATGCAAAGCTCAGCATTAATCCGAAGCGTCGGTTGTATTTGTGATCTTGGATAAATTCGATCATTTTTTGAGGTTCTTTGCTGTTGAGAGCACTGGCCAGGTATCGCGCTGCAAAATATTCTTGGAAGCTAAGATGTACAAAGTAATGATCTTTTTTTGCTTCGATTCGTGTTCCAACGCC